TTCCCCGCTACGCTCCCCAAAGCGATTATCTCTGACAGAATTATCCCGGCAATGAAGCGTCTTTATATTCTCAGCGATCATTAACTGGGGAGACGAATGCGGTGGAGTTATTGTTTGGTTGGGGATAGGGGACACCCTTTCTACCCATAACCAACCATCTCGCCAGCTCCCTTTCCATTATGCCATAAGCGGCTTTGTTCACCATCTTCCAACAAGGAAATTTCGTGACAATTAACTCTATAGCTATTCTGCGTGTTTCAAGCAATAAATATTCGTAGCCGGTTATAATATATCGGGGGAAGAGGATTTTACAAGTACCGACGGTATTGGAAGATTATAAGCCGGTTTATTCTTTGAAGAAATTTCTAAAATCCTAATTGCTGATTTGAAAAATGTACTGGTTGACTGTTTAGACATTATTGATGGATATCATTGTACAGACTGTCCCTAAATTCATTTACGAGAAAAAAAGTAAAAGAAATTAAGAGTTTGGCACTGGAGATGTCTTCACCAATCTGTATCTCCGCACTTCATTATGCATACTATTCCCCAAATATAAGTTCGCAGCGAGCAATTTGTTATTTACACTACTTACATTCGGACTGTTGTCTTCGTCTTTGTTTTTGACCGTTGTATCTTCCGACCTTCATCAGGTGCTTGTGGATCAGGGTAACCTCCGGGGAATTTTGAACTGAACACTTTATTAGAATAAAAGATTCATTTTTCACTTGATGAAGGCCGGAGGACACAGCAATCGAAACGTTGTGAAAACAACAATAATAGTCCGAATGGAAATAGTGTAAATCATGATGACTGCTCATCCTATGAATTCAAACAAAATGCGACTAGGTGATAATAACAACAAAGATGAGGACAATAGTCCGAATATAGTGTAAATCATGATGACTTCTCATCCCAAGAATTCAGACGCAAACAATTTGTTAATTAAATAAATTTCGTTGTTACGTTGTTACTAATCTAAAACTTGTAATGGAATTTCGGAGCAATCTGGTTTGATATTTAAACGTAGGAATAGAGAATTTTCGTGTGCGGCTTAGGATCATTCCATCCTTTGATGTCGAGTTAGAAAAGCTCTGATTGAAAAAGCTGAATTTAAGTACATTAGATATGGATGACTAGAGAAAATTCCTTCGGCTCGATATCCTCATTTGAAGCGGAGAATATTTATATGCCCGGCAGTCCTACTTTGGCAACAAATGGTAAAGTTTGATTTAAAAACATTTCGTAAATGAACATTAAATGGGAAACAAGGTAAAAAAAAAATAATGTGGTCTTCCTCTCTCTTTTATTTAACTTAGCTCGCCGCAATCACTAAACAAAACGTACCTTTTTTTTTTAATCATTTCGCTCCAAGCAAGGCAATAAAGCCACTAAGACGCAATGGCATTACTTAATGTGAGGAAATATGAGAAAAAATACTAATAAAGTGAGAGAACAATAAACGAACAGAAATTAAGAAGACAGAAGATAACGATTGACATTGCATTTATATTTTTGAAGATCAAAGTTGACTGCGAGACAAGAAGCTGGAAGTGAGTTACACAAGCGAGAAACACGAGGGAAGAAACTGTTAGCATAGAACTTACGGTTACATCTCGCCATTTAAATTGTAAAAGCTTGAGACCTTGCCGCTAATCTAGTACTGTGCTTAAATTCATGAAAGCTAGATTCCATAGAGGAAAGTTCATCAGAATAATTACCATGAAGATATTTATAGAAAGCACGGCGGTTGGGAAGTGACTGAAGCCGAGATGCTAAGTCAGGACCAATAACCTTGCAGATACTTCTATGGACTTTATCAAAGATATCTAAATACATAGCTGGAGCACGAGATCATAAATTTTCCTTATATCAAAACAATATTATTACTTACCATTCTTACTAAATTCAACAAAATATAGCAATTTCTCTATGAAGTTCTAACTGGGCCCCATATATAAAATTTGGATGGATGGAGAATAAGAAACAAAAAAATTTAAATATCTAACTGCAGTGCGTACTTATAATATACAAAAATTCTATTTACATAACTTAAGAAAATAGGGTTACTGTTAATGATAAAAGTGACCCGCAATTCTAAATTGTGGATGAAATATCAGTTAACCAGACAAAAATAATTCATGAGTGGAAACAAGTATTAAAACAATCACTCAACCAAACACACACATAACCACGCACTCATCCAGACACAACAACAAATACGAAATATTTATTATTCAGCGCGCCCACGTCGCTACCGAATGTGTCACAAAGTCGAAGTTTAAAGTGGGTTTAACGGCAATACAGTGGAAAAATTACCCAAGTCCACTCGTAGGTCCGAAATACGAAAAGCGTCTTGTATCTAGAGAACTGATAGGGAAGTGTGGATAGTTATAAATTCCATTAATATGACGTCACAATGGCCTGGCTACGTCACAAATGCCAGCAATTTTTCCACGACCACACTACAATGTATTTGCTTTAGTGTGTACCTAGTTCATGTGATTAAGTTCCCGGCTGCCTCTTTGGTTATGATTCAAGTCGAGATTCCCAAACTCCCCAGTTTGTTTTGGCCCGTCCTTTTTCATCTCGACTGGGTCAGCTTTATATTTTCCCAGGCCCGTATTATATTTTCTCCTTTTCCCACACCCGTAGTGAGAGAGCTTCTTGATTTTGTCCCATGGGTAGAATACAGCGGCCTCTCCTTTTTGAGGGTTGGAAGGGCCCTACTAGCATCAGTTATGTTTAGTTTACTTTGTGTAGACTTTTAGTTTATTATTGGGTTCATCTCCCCCCCCTCTCATTCTTCATTATTAGAATTTTATATATATATATTTATTATCATTAAATTTTTAAGGCATGGGGACGTGTTTTGTAGGTTTCCCCTTGAGAGGATTGTGGTGCATGGAGGATTGATTGGTGATTGACGAATTCTTATGGTGAATGTGGAAACTGTAATGTGTGAATGGATCGTGAATCAGATTAGCTAGGTATAAGATAGTTAGTGACGACCAGTCTCACCCCCCCCTCATTTTGGCCTTGTAACTAATTGTATTTTTAATACAATAAATATCCTACAATGAATTTGCTTCGGCTTCTATTGGTCGTGTCCCTTCAGGACGTTGGCGATCATGACTCTCCATAATTTCCTGTCCTTTGTAGCTATAAGTAAATTTTGTCGTTTTGTTATCTCACCTAAACCCTCTTCTGCCATCCATTTACACAGGCTCGTTAGTTTATGGGTTGTTTTCCTGTCCCTCTTGTCGTCATTATGCCTTGTGAGTGTCAAATTTTCCAAGCCCTCTTTCCTCATTATGCGCACTAGAAATGATTTCAAATATCTGATGTCACAAGTGTGTGTTTTGTTTCTATTTCCTCTAAAACATTGTTTTTGTTCACATGTTTAGTCCATGGTATTCTTAGCATCCTTCTGTAAAAGAACATTTCTATTGCTTCAAGTCTCTTAATCTGTGAGAAATTCGTCCGACATTCAATATTATATAGGAGGCCTCATATTACATAACAGTTCAGTACTCTTTTCTTTGTTTCTAACGAAATTTTCCCGTTTGTTAATAGTTAAATTTTGGAAGGTATCTTTGGTTATCCGGATTTCAATGTCATACTTCCTGTCATCTGTTAAAACATTTCCCTGATATTTAAATTGTTCTACGTGGTATTTACAATTTTTAATTTTCATGTTACGCTTTTCTTTTTGCTGACAACCATGCATTCTGTCGTCATGCAATTGGTGTTTAGTCCTTTCTTCTCGCTTTCCTTCACTACCCTCCTTTGGAGTTCTAGTAGTTTTATTTATGTATCTGATATCATCACTGTCATCTGCATATATTATGGCGGCCAATAATGAATCCTGGAGGAACTTCTATTTCTCCCAGAATCGCTTCTCTGTATTTGTTGAATAAGTCTGGTAAGAAGACACATCCTTGTCTTACATTTATTTTTATTTTTGTATATTTACTGAATTAATTTTCAATCCCTATGCAGGCGGTTTTCTTACACTATAGGTTCTGGATTATTCTAATATCCTTCCGAAATATGTCAAGGTTGCCTAGCAATTCTAACTGATCTGTGTGACGTACTTTATAGAACGCTAATTTGTATCACCCTAGGCAATTGAAGAAGATGTCAAAAAGATAAGCGTAAAAATTGACTGACAAAAACACTTAGGGAACTAATACGTCCTTCGCACAGATACAGATATTGGCACGCAGCCGTTGCATATGGAGGGAGTTGGTCAGGCACTTAATTGAGCAGTGACTCTACGGCTACACCCGCTCATAGACGGTTGTTGTTGTTGTTGGTGGTGATGCTGTTGATGATATCATTCACATACATTGACATTATGGCGATAGTGATAGTACCCAGGGAACTCATTACTCAGTCGTAATCGATCTAGTGAGACAAACTTGCTAACCATTACATCACGTAGAGGTATCCAAATGATTTTCTAAACTTACCTTAGATGTGGCACAAGGCAGAAAGTACGGGGCACCCAGTGAGGATCGAACTCATTACTCAGTCGTAATCGATCTAGTGAGACAAACTTGCTAACCATTACATCACGTAGAGGTATCCAAATGATTTTCTAAACTTACCTTAGATGTGGCACAAGGCAGAAAATACGGGGCACCCAGTGAGGATCGAACTCATTACTCAGTCGTAATCGATCTAGTGAGACAAACTTGTTAACCATTACACCACGTAGAGGTATCCAAACGATTTTGTAAACTTACCTTAGATGTGGCACAAGGCAGAATATATGGAGCACCGAGTGAAGATCGAACTAAATATTAAGTCGTAATTCATCCAATGAAACAAGCTTACTATTATACCATATCGAGGCCCCCAACTGATTTTCGAAGCTTAGCTTAGATGAGGCGGAATGTATAGGACACCCAGTGACAATAGATCGAACTCCCTATTCAGTCATAATTCATTCAGTGAGACAAGGTTGATAACCCTTACATCACTTTGAGGTCCCC